AGAGCAGGCCGGGCAGTGCGGCCCTTTGAGCTGCCGCCCCGTGCCTGGTCCCCTCGCCCCCAGCTCTCAGGCGCCAGGCCCAGTCGGGGAGGAAGCCAGTGGGTCGTCCTGTCGCGCCCTTCCCAGCAATCGCCATCCCGGCACCTCTTGCAGCTGAGAGGCAGGAGGCCACGCCGTCCTGGGGAAGTCTGCAGGGCGGGAGGGTGCGGACGGTGCCCGGGGAAGCCTCTGGGTGCCGACAGGAAGCCAGGACGAGGCCCCTTTTGCTGCCACCACCCAGCCCTGGAGGGGCTCAGGGCTTTGCCTGGGAAACGGAGCCCACCCCAGGCGGCCGACTTCCAGCTCCACACTCATCTCCCTGGTTCGTCGGCAGGCTGGCTCGGTGCCCACCAGGCGCGCGGCCTGGGCTGGGCGCCGGGGCCCCTGCTGGCCTGGACCCGCGCTCAGCCCTGCAGGGGCCCGCAGAGAGGAGAGGAGATGCAGGAGAAGGACGTCCCTCCTGTGCGGGAAGGGCCATGGAGAGGAGGTGGGGGACGGGGAAGGCGCCACGGTGGGCCTGAGGACACAGATGTGGACGAAGGGCCCGGGCAAAAGCGCAGAGTCAAGAAGGGCTCTGTGAGCAGGAACTGGAATAGGGAGCTCACAGCCCCCAGGAGGAGCGCAGACGGGGAAGCAACGAGGCGTTGCAGCTCGGATCTTCAGGGGAGAGAGTGTCAGGCCGGGTCGCGGAAGCCTCCCCTGGTGGTGGCAGGGTCAGAGGGTCATGCTGGGCCCAAGAGGGACCGTGGAGAGGGGATGGGCCCAGTCGCACACGTGCCGTCATGCCAGGGCCTCTCGACAGCCTTCCCGGCAGAGAACTCACCTTCCCCCATTTTACAGACAAGAAACCGAGGCCCAGAGGCATGGGGTGCCTGAGACACCCCCGTGGAGGCACCTGAACATGGACCCCGCAGTCTGCCTCTAAGCCATCCCTCCAAGGCACTCTGTGGGAGATTCTGATTTGGTTTCCGATTACACAGATATCTGTGTTTAAAAAGCTTTATAAAACCAATGCATAAGCTGGGCTCGGTGGCTCAGCCTGTAATCCCACGCCTTGGGAGGCTGAGGTGAGTGGATTGCCTGAGCCCGCGGGTTCAAACCCGCCTGGGCAAGTTGGCGAGACCTCATCTCTACAATAAATCAAAAAATCAGCCGGGCGTGGTCGCGCATGCCTGTAATTCCGGCTCCTCGGAAGGCTGAGCGGAAGGATCGCCGGAGCCCGGCAGGTCGAGGCTGCGGGGGCCGGGAGCGGCCACTGCCCTCCAGTCTGGGTGACAGAGTGAGACTCCGACTCAAAAAACAAAAACAAAAACAAACCAATGCATAATAAAGACACAAAATACAGGCCTGTCATAAAAGCTTACAAACCCAGAAGACCACGAAGGGAGGGTGGGAGGCACCTCCCCTCAAGCCCCACCGGAGCCCACCAGCATCCATTGCGGATCCCTGCTGGGTCCCCTTGCCAAGGCAGCTCCTTGGTCAGGGGCTTCAGACAGGGGTTGCTTCCTGGATGCAGCACCCGCCCCGGAGGCCTGACTCCGTGGTGGGGGCAGGATGAGGGGCAGCTCACCTCCAGATCCACCGTCACCGGCTGGGACAGGACCGGGTCCTCGCCCACCTCATATAGGTGATGGAGCCGCAGCAGGACACGGCGGAGGTCAGCCTGGGCCTGCCCTCGCTGGCCTTTGGGGACACAAGGACAGTGGCCGTGAGGACCGCCCCGGCCAATCCTGACGTCCCCAGTCGACACTGGGTGCTTCACACACTTGACTCCGTTTCATAGCCTCCACTTCCCCATGAGACAGGGGGCACAGCCCCCCTCGTGGCAGACAAGGCTCAGAGAGGCGCAGTCACCTGCCCTGGGCCACACAGTCGGTGCACAGCAGAGGGAAGAGTCCAGGTTCAGCTGACTCTACGGCCTCTCATGACGACCCCAGATTCTGCAACGTCTTGGGCCTCAGCCACTGTTGTGGGCCTCATCGGGCCTGTCCTCACATACTCCAGTCTCCTTCCCCGTCCCCTTTGAAGTCGGGGGTGGTGGTGCGGCTGCCACAGCCAATGCCAAGTGAGCAGAAGTGTGGCGGTATTCTGGCAGAAGCTTTCCTGCCTTGGTAGTGGAGGAAGCGTGGGTTGCAACCCATCCTCTATCAGCAGGGCCTTAGGCCACAGTGAAAAAGGCCTTCTTGACCCCCACTGGACACACAGCATGAAGGTGAAATGAGTCTATACTGTGTTAAAACACTGAGCTTATGGGGCTCTTTGTCACTGCAGCATAACCCCGTTGCCCTGACTGATACAAGTCTCACCTGCCATGTGAGGTCCATGATCTCCTGAACTACCCCTGACCTTCCTGCACAGAAAATTCATTGTTACTGCTCCCATCAGACGGATGGGAAGGTCAAGGCTCAGAGGAAGTCACTGAGTTCAAGGTCCTGGAACGAGGACCTAGTTGATATCGTCGGTGTTTCCCGAACACCAGCTCACAGAACCCCAGCTCTGCAGCCAGGCTGCAACGCCTCTGATGGAATCAAACTACCTGGGGGCTAGAACTGAGACATCGGTGTTTATTTGTTTGAGACAGGGCCCTGCTGTGTTGCCCAGGGTGCAGGACAATCATCGCTCACTGTAGCCTCGACTTGCCGGGCTCAAGTGATCCTCCTGCCTCAGCCTCCCAAGTAGCTGGGACCACAGGTGCACCCCCCCCCATGCCTGACTAACTTTTTAATTTCAATATTTTGTATAGACGAGGTCTTGCTACGTTGCTCAGGCTGGTCTTGAACTCCTGGCCTCAAGCGATCCTCCCGCCTTGGCGTCCCAAAGGGCTGAGATGACTGGTGTGAGCCGCCATGGCTAGTCTATTTTTTCAGAGCTCGTGCCAGGACTGTGAGGCTGCTGGTTTTCAGACTGGCACAGAAGAACAGCTGCCCAGGACCACAAAAGCTAAGAGGTTTGCAAAATCTCCTCTGTGTGCTCCTAGGCAGTGGTGGAAGACCCGAGAGCCAGCAGCAGCGAGGGCCTCTGGTCTTGTGCTCCACTGTGGGATGAGGAGGGGTCATCCTTCCCAAGGGGTGGCGAGCCACCCTGGAAGCAGGCGCTGACAACCCCTCCCTTGCCCTCTGCTCAGCCTCCAGGGAGGAGGGACTTCCTCGCCAGGGGTCTGGGAGGCATGTCTGGCTCAGCTCCTTTCTCTTTCCACTTCCTCTTCGGAGTGAGCTGCCAGCCCACACGCACAGGTTGGAAGGGAAAGCTCTGCGGGCAGGGGAGGACTGCCCTGCCCTGTGCCTTCCAGGGGGAGCCGGGAGCCCCGAGGGCCCGTGCTGGAAGGCCAGCTTGGCTGCAGGAACAAGCCAGTCTCCAAGACCAGTTTTCTCAGGGCTGGGGTGTTGCTTGGCCTGTTCTGGCTGATCCCCTTGTGTCTAGCTTCTGCACTGGCTCAGAACTGGGGGGTTAACACCCTAAGTTCAAGCCGGGCTCAGTGGCTCAGCCTGTAACTCCAGCGCTTTGGGAGCCCGCGGGTTTGAGACCTCACCTCTACAATAAATCAAAAATCAGCTGGGCGTGGTAGCATGCTCCTGTAGTTCCAGCTACTCGGAAGGCTGAGGCGGAGGGACTGCTGGAGCCCAGCAGGTCGAGGCTGCAGTGGCCGGGACTGGCCACTGCACTCCAGTCTGAGTGACAGAGTGAGACTCCAACTCAAACAAAACAGAAAAGCACCCTAAGTTCTTTCTTCCCTCCTTATTCTTAGCTCTGCGGTCTCTGACTGAGCCTCATGCCTGACCCTGACACATGAGGATAACCCAGGCACAGTCACTCCAGCTGCCCACGGTGCAAAGGGACAGATATGGTGCAGCTGGGGCTTTAGCAACAACCAAGTCAGCTCCTGGCAGGTGTCACCTCCTTAGGAAGCCCTCCCAGATGTCCTGCAGGGGGTTCCCCTCAGCACTGTCCGGTGACTTGGCTGCTTCCCCTTCCAGGGGGCGAGCTCAGACAGACCAGGAACCTTGTGTGCCTCGGTCACTGCTCTCCCCCAGAGACTGCCCCAAGAAACGCTGGCGAATGGACGAATGGAGGTTCCCAGCAGTCAGGCTGCCTGCGCTCAGAGGGCAGGTGGGAAGTCAGGTGCTGGGGGCTCCAGGTGGTCTCCCTGGAGGAAGAGGGACCAGAGGGCAACCCTGAGGAGGGGAGAAGAGAGCAGAGGGTGGGGGCTGGGAGGGATTCCTTCAGAGAACGGGCTGGGGCCCAGGCCACTGTGTCCCCGGCTCTCTGAGTGACTCTGGTCACTCACTGACTCTGCGGGCCCGCTCTCCCCGTCTGCAGACGAGGGACCAGGTGACCTTGCAGCACATGACGACTCAAAGGCGCGCCCCCGTGTCTGGTGTGGGCTTGGGGCCTCCCAACACCTGCCTCACCTTTCTGGAGGTTCTGCACGTGTTCGGTGTGGCTGGAGCTGTAGTTCCAGCCAGGGATGCTCAGCACCTGTAGGTGGAGATTCGGGGGCAGCGTCACGGCCTCTGGCTGCCGCGGTCCTGGGGGCTTCAGGGCAGACCCTGCGAGGCAGATGGACAGATCCAGGCGTTGAGGGGCCCAGCTCCTCCTCCTGGCACTTGGCTCTCTGCGTCCGGTGCCCCGCCCCGCCCAGCCTGCCTCTCAGCCATCCCCTTGGGAGCCGACACTGCCCCAGCCCGAAGCATCTGGGCCCCAGGGCCCGGGTCCTTCCACCCGAACGTCTGTCCTCTGGGGCAGCAACTGACAGCTGAGACCACAGCACTTGAGAGCCAGAAGGACCTTCTCTTCCGCTCTCCGCACTCTGGCCATTTCAACTCAGAGACGAGGAGAAGAAGGCCCAGAGAGGGGACACCGCGTGTTCAGGATCACACAGCGAGTCCACGACACACAGCCCCGTTTTCTGCGTGCGATCTGGGAAGCCAGCCCTCCCTGGCTTCGTCAGCACCTGGTCTCCCTGCTCAGAAGGCACACAGGCCCCCCTTCTTCCAGCTCTGGACTTTAAACGGCAGCTACTGTCTTCTCACAATATCCCAGGCCACACGGATGGGTCCAGGCCTGGGCCACCTGACACCAGCTGGACCAATCAGAATCCTTCCCTGGGACTTTTGCCCTCGAGACTGGAAAGCCTGAGTCTCAGTTCCTTGTAGGTGGGGAGACGGAGCTGTCCTTGGAGAGCACCCCCAGAGCTGCTCACAGCTACATCCCAGGCAGGGAGAGGACCGTCTGCAGACAGAGCACAGATGAAAGGTGGAGACGGACAGCCTTTGCGAGGGTTCCAGTGCCTGAGGCCCGACGGCGCCCCCCTCTCCCTCGGCCGTGAGGGCCTCACGATGCACCCTCCTCGGGCCCGGCTAGTTCCAGTTGGGCTTCTTTCACCCGCCATCCATGGAGACCAGAGTGGGGCCAGGTGACAAGGAGCTGCCAGTGACCACGGGGCTTTCTTAGGCAAAATCACCCTCTGCAGGGAAGGCCCCAGCTGCCAGGAAGGAGCCACAGACAGATCTGGGAGCAGACCCTGCCCTCGCAAGGCCACTTGGATTCCCTCTCCGAAGCATGGGAACTGGAGGTGGCCGGGGTGGGCAGCTCAGTGGCAGAACGGGGAGACATGGTGGTGAATGTCGTCTCCCAAGATGCCCAGAGCTGCCCTTGCCCCGGCCTGCCCAGGCCTCCTGTCCAGGTCTGCCTTACAGGCCTGGACTGCCCCTTCAGTTTCTGTTACTTCCAAACAAAGAGGCTTAGTTGACAGCCCTGAACCCGATCCCTGGTCCCTTCCTGGCTGGTGGTCTCACTCACATTCCTCCAAACCCACAAGGCACCAGGCCCTCTCGACAGACGGCTCCCTCCCCCGACTGAAGCCTGGATCTATCTGAGCTCCTGGAGGACAGCATGTGGCATACTGCAGGCGCTCAGTAAATGCTTGTTGCGTGAGTGACAGCTCACCGGCTTGCAGATGCCCTGGCAAGGTTCTACCTCTGAAACCGAAGCAGGGAGAACCTCAAACGCACATTCTAATCAAAACCTCCAAGGTGAGTAGAGAAAGAGAAGAGTTCAAAGATTAGTGAAAATGGTACTGAGTTGTATCTTGGTCTTGACTTTAAAGGCCACTCTAAGCCGGGCTCGGTGGTTCAGCCTGTAATCCCGTGCCTTTGGGAGGCTGAGGTGAGTGGATTGCCTGAGCCCACGGGTTCGAGACCCACCTGGGCAACTTGGCGAGACCTCATCTCTACAATAAATCAAAAAATTAGCCAGGTGTGGTAGTGCGCGTCTGTAGTTCCGGCTACTTGGAAGGCTGAGGCGGAAGGATCGCCGGAGCCCAGCAGATCGAGGCTGAGGTGGCCAGGAGCAGGCAACAGAGTGAGACTCCAACTGAAAAAAACCCAAAAAACAAAAACAAACAAAACCCCCCCCAAAAACCCAACCAACTACATGATTGTTAATTTATAGAAACCTCAGTGGAGGCAAACCATCCTCATAAACCTTGCAGATTAGACTATGGGCTAGAATGCCCTCACCTGGTGACAACATACCCAGGTGCACACAGAACTAGTCCTTTAAGCACTGAGCCTCCAGGCCTGAGTAATATGATGACCGTAATCTCGTACCAAGAAAGCAAGAGATATATCAGGGAAGAACATGGGGGAGAAGATGCAGGGGAGAGGCCTAGGGCGGAGTGGGTAAGTCCCAGCTCTGTACCCACTGGCTGGATAAGCCTGAGCAAGCCACTCTTTGTCCTCAGTTTGCCCATCTATTGAGTGAGGAGCTTGGCCTGGAGGTCCCTGAGGTCCCTTTTCGCCTTACAGCGGCCCAGATTCCTGAGGGCACAACCCCCCGCAGTGCCCACCCTGGCCCGGCTGACGTGTACCAGGGCAGTCATGAGATGCATTCTGCGAGGGCGCCCTTTACTGGTCAGCTCACCGAACAGCACCACGGGCCGGTGCTGCAGTGCCAGCCCGCTCCTCTGGCGCAGGGCGGCCATGACCGGCCGGGGACCCAGCAGAAGCCAGAGCACCGGGTGGACAACCGAGGTGTCGTTGAGAGTGAGGTTGTAGCCCAGGTCCCAGTCGACGTTATTCCACAGCCGCCGGTGCAGCATGATCTGCAGGAAAGAGTTGCCGGAGGGGCCCGGGTCACTCCCGGGCCTGCTGCGGGGGCACGTGGGCTGCGGCGGGACGCCCCGAGCCTCCTACCTCCACCTGCCCGTTTCCTTGGCTGGAGACGCCGTGTGCCCGCTCGGACAGCAGCACCAGACTGCTCCCGCCGTCCTCGATGAAGGCTGACTGGACCATGGGGTAGTAATTCTGCAGCCATAAACATCCCCGAGTGGAGGGTCAGGCGGGGGCAGAGGCAGCCTCGTGGTCAGGTCACCCTCTGACCGCCCCCGCGAGCCCTCCCCCCGGTGCAGCCACCGCCGCGGGGGGCCGGGGCCCTGACTTTGGGGACCCACGGACGGGGGTTCAGACCCCACCCTGTGGCTTCCTCGCCACAGGACCCCACGGACATGAGCCCAGGCCCCAGCCCAGCACTTAACGTACGCCATCTCCTTCAACCTCAGAACAGCCCTTTGCCAAAGGGGTCATGTGACAGAAGAGGAAACTGAGGCACAAACCAAGGTCTCTCGGATGTGGTGGTGCCGGAATTCAGACACAAGTCTAATCCAGAGCCTGTGCTCTCAGCCCTTGAAAGGGCAGACAGGTGGGCAAGGGGTCTTTATTTACTTTTTGGAGTGGAGTCTCATTCTGTCGCCCAGGCTGGAGTGCAGTGGCGCGCATGCTCACGGCCACCCCAGTGTTGACCCACTGGACTCCGGCGATCCTTCCGCCTCAGCCTTACAAGTAGCCAGGACTACAGGTGTGCACTACCACGCCTGGCTAATGTTTTTTTTTTTTCTTTGAGTTGGAGTCTCACTGTCACCCAGACTGGAGTGCAGTGGCCGCTCCCGGCCACCGCAGCCTCGACCTGCCAGGCTCCGGTGATCCTTCCGCCTCAGCCTTCAAGTAGCCAAAGTTACAGGCATGCGTTACCACACCCGGCTGATTTTTTGATTTTATTGTAGAGATGAGGTCTCGCTGCCCAGGCAGGTCTCGGCGCCGCGGGCTCAGGCCATCCACTCCCCTCAGCCTCCCAAAGGCGCAGGATGACAGGCTGAGCCACCGAGCCCGGCCTGATTTTTGATTTATGGTAGAGACGCGGTCTCGCCAAGTTGCCCGGGCTGGTCTCGAACCCGTGGGCTCAGGCAATCCACCCTCCTTGGCCTCCCAAAGTGCCAGGATTACAGGCTGGGCCACCAAGCCTGGCCGGCAAGGGGTCTTTAAAAGAATTCTCGTCTGGGCATGGTGGCTCATATATATCTGTCATCCCATCACCTTGGGAGGCTGAGGGGAGTGGATCGGTTGAGGGTGGGAGTTCCAGGCTGCAGTGAGCGATGATCACACTGCTACCCTCCAATCTGGGCTACGGAGTGAGACCCTGTCTCGAAAAAAGACTTCTCTCCAGAGGCCTCTGCTACTACAAGCTGCTGCTTAGAGGGGTCGGCAAAGGCGCCGTGAGGGTGGACAAGCGCCGTGAGGGCGCGCCGCGTACGCGTCCCAGGGCATACCCGAGCGATGCTGTTGTTTGCGTAGGCCAGGTGGGGCCTCCGCTGCATCTGGTAGCCGTTGTTGTCTGAGTAGATGACCTGCTGGCTGTCCAGGCCGGTGCTGGTCCTCAGGACAGCCTCGCGGTTCAGCTCCAGGGGGCCCACTCGGTACTCCTGCTCGATCCGCTGGCACAGCAGCTGCCCGTCGTGGCCTTGTGGCACATGCGCGAGCCGGGAGTAGATGGCGAATGCGTGGTCCTGGGCCGTCATATTCCTGGGCGAGAAGAAGGATCGGTAAATACAGATCTGGGACCCTCCTGGGTGCTTCCTCCCTTCCTGCAGGCACTGCAAGGCAGGCGTGGACAGGGAGCCTTCTTGGGCCATGCCACGTGGCGACTGGCAGCCTCCCCCCGGACAGTGGGCAGCAGAGTGGAGAAGCCTGGTTCCTGACACTGCGGGCTGGCTGGGCCAGGCCTGGATGGAAGGAAAGGAACACGCCTCTTGTGAGTCACAGACTCTGTGGGCCTCTGTCGCAGCTCTGGCCAGCAGGACACAGCACAGGCAAACGTGGCCAGCACGTGCGGACACGAGAGCAAACAGGCCCTTCGTCAGGCTTTCATGGAACCCCACTGTGTGCCAACCACAGGCCCAGGAGCGGGGGGCTCCAGAGCAAACACGGACCCTCCTCCGCTCACCCACTGCCCGTGTGGGCCGCCTGCACACCCGCCGAGAGCCAGGCTGTCGGGGTCACCTGTAGAAGAACTGCCGGATCTCCGTCACGAGCCTCCCAGCCACGACCTCCATTCCCACGGCCTCCCACGTGGGCACTGCAGCGGCACTGGGTGTAAACATGTAGTTATCGGAGACGGGGCCCTGTTTCACATCGCCGTTGACGTGGTACTCCAGAAACTCCTGGGTCACGTGGACCGACCGGTTACCCTGTCTGCAGAGGTGAGACAGTGGATGTCATTTTCGTCACGGATGTGTCGCATGGATGTTACGCTCGAGGTCTGGAGCCAGGCTAGCAAGCACCTCTCTTCAGACGCCAGCGGTGAGCCAGGGTAAAGGAGCAACCCCGAGCTGCCTGACTAGTGATCATGGGGCCGCACGACCAGGCCCAGCCACGAGCCCCTGAGACCCACCCAGAGCCCACGGGGCGATCAAAATGTGGCCGATCAAAATGTGGCCGAGGCAGACCTCAGGCAACGAGAGGTTTGTTTTGCCAAGATTAAGGACACGCCTCGAGGCAAAAGAGACATGGTCCCTGCAGAATCTTGGACCAGTGCTTTCTCCAAAGGGGGGTTCGAGGTCTTCAGTATTTGAAGGGCAGGAGGGGACGGAGGAAGGAAAAAAAAGGAGGAGGATGGCCAAGCTTGGTGGCTCAGCCTGTCATCCCAGCACTTTGGGAGGCCGAGGTGAGAGGATTGCCTGAACCCGCGGGTTCGAGACCCGCCCGGGCAACTTGGTGAGAGCTCGTCTCTACAATAAATCAAAAATTAGCTGGGCGTGGTAGCGTGCGCCTGTTGTTCCAGCTCCTTGGACGGCTGAGGCGGAAGGATCGTCGGAGCCCAGCAGGTCAAGGCTTCGGTGGCCAGAGCCGGCACTGCACTCCAGTCTGGGCGACGGAGTGAGACTCCAACTCATAAAAAAAGTAAGGAGGATAGGCAGGGAGGCAAGTGATTACATGCTTGTGAGGTTTGGTGAATCTACATTTTATATGTGAGAAGTTGGTAGAGGAAAACCAATCATGCATTAATCTCGTATTCAGTAAATCTACATTTTACATAAGATAAAGCAAGCGTGTGAAATTACAGCCATCTGTTTGGGAACAAAAGGAAGACAGCTTATTTATAATCTTTTTTTTTTTTTTTTTTAACGGAGTGGGGGTCTCACTATATTGCCCAGACAGGTCTCGAACTCCTGGCTTTAAGCAGTCTTCCCACCCCAGCCTCCCAAAGTCCTGGGATTATAAGCATGAGCTACCATGTCCAGGCAAGAAGGCAATTTGTGTGTGTGTGTGTGTGTGTGTGTGTGTGTGTGTGTGTGTGGTGTGTGTGTGTATGCGTGTGTGTGTGTGCGTGCGCGTGCTATGTATGACTCAGTTCCCAAGCTTAACTTTTTCTTTGGCATAGTGAGTTTGGGACCCAAGATTTTATTTTTCTTTCATAATTCCATCCTGTCCCAAAGCAGATCACAAGTGAGAGGGACAGAAGCCACGGAACAGGCACCAAGAGGAGTGAACAGAGGGTGTCCCCCAGAGGCAGTGCTGGCTCACCCAGGCACAGGAGTGGGTTTTTGTCACGCAGACCCAGGAGCTGTCCAGCAGGAAGCCAGCATGGACTGACCCTGGGTCACAGGCTGAGGCCTTCACTTACGCCACCTCCTGGAATCCTCCCAACCCTTGCAGGCAAGGACTGTGAACCTGCTTCACTCCCAGGGCACACCAGGCTGGGAGACGTGCCGTTGCCTGCCTGAGGTTGCCCCTCTGGGTGTGTGGGAGCCAGAACCCAACCTCAGCCCTGACTCAAGTCTGCGCTGCTCCCTTCCATCTGGATGCTGGGTTAGGACAGAAGAAAGGGGTTGGAGCCCTGTATACTTGCATTTCAATTGTGAGCATGCGTTTTGTGGCCCAAGCAATTGCCCAAGTGATGCATTTGTACCCGAGTGTGGCCTTGCCCTGGGCAGACAGTGAAGGCGTGGCAGTCCCTGCACCTGCCTTGAGAATCTTCGGGGGACTGTGATCCGGTGGGGAAGAAAGTGGTGAGGAAGGCTCACCTAGGAGGGCTCTGCCAAGTCCCTGCTGAAGCAGAGAAAAGAGAAAAGAGCCAGGCTCGGTGGCTCAGCCTGTCATCCCAGCACTCTGGGAGGCCGAGTTGAGTGGATTGCCCGAGCCCGCAGGTTCGAGACCCACCCGGGCAACTTGGCGAGACCTCGTCTCTACAATAAATAAAAAATTAACCGGGTGTGGTAGCACGCGCCTGTAGTTCCAGCTACTTGGAAGGCTGAAGCAGAAGGACGCCAGAGCCCAGCAGGTCAAGGCTGCGGTGGCCTGGAGCGTGTCCCTGCACTCCAATCTGGGCGACGGAGTGAGACTTCAACTCAAAAAAAAAAAAGAAAAGAAAAGAGAAAAGAATCGCATTCACCAGTCTGGTGCTGAAGGCCTTTCGCCTCTGGTCCAGATGCCCTGCCAGCGTTTCCCTCTGAAAACCTCCCCCAGGGCCAACACGCAAGGGAGAAGACAAGCCATAGAATGGGAGAAAGGACTTGCAAACCACAGGTCTACATAGGACACGTGCCCAGAACAGATAAAGGACTCTCTTGCCGGGAGTGGTGCGTCACGCCTATAATCCCAGCCCTTCAGGAGGCTAAGGTGAGAAGATCCCTGGAGGCCAGGAGTTTGAGACCAGCCTGGGTGACAGAGTGAGACCTCATCTATACAAAAAAATTTTAAAAAATTATCAGGGCATGGTGGTGCACACATGTAGTCTCAGCTATTTGGGAGGCTGAGGTAGAAGGTTCACCTGAGCCCAGAAGGTGGAGGCTGCAGTGAGTCGTGACTGTGCCATTGCACTCCAGCCTGGGCAACGGTGAGACTTGACTCAAAAAAACAAAACAAAGCTGGGCTTGGTGGCTCAGCCTGTAATCCTGTGCCTTTGGGAGGCTGAGGTGAGTGGATTGCCTGAGCCCGTGGGTTCGAGACCCGCCTGGGCAACTTGGCGAGCCCTCATCTCTACATAAATCAAAAAAAATTATCCGGGTGTGGTAGCGCGCACCTGTAGTTCCAGCTACTTGGAAGGCTGAGGCGGAAGGATTGCCGGAGCCCAGCAGGTCGAGGCTGCGGTGGCCGGGAGCGGCCACTGCACTCCAGTCTGGGCGACGGAGTGAGACTTCAACTCAAAAAAATAAATAAATAAATAAAAAATAAAAAGACAACAAAGTTTAAAAACCAGCAAAGGAACCGCATATACATTTCTCCAAAGAAAATATCCAAGTGGCCCGTAAGAACACGAAGAGACGCTTGACATCATTAGTTAGCAGGGAAATGCAAATCAACCCACCACGAGGTACCGCTGCACGCCCACGAGAGTGGCTATAATTGAAAAGACAGAAAATAACAAGCGTGGGTGAGGACGTGAGAAAATCGGAACCTTCACCCACTGCTGGTGAGAAGAGAAGATGGCACAGCCGCTTCGGAAGGCGTCTGGCAGTTCCTCGGACAGTTAACCAGAGCGTTAGCTTACAACCTGGCAATTCCACGTGTCCGTGTACACTTGAGAGAAATGAAAATGACGTCCACACAAGAACTGTACACGGACGTTCACAGCAGCACGACTGACAGTAGCTAACCAGTGGAAACAACCCAAATGTCCATTAGCTAAAGGATAGATGAACAAAATGTGGTCTATCCACGCAGTGGAATGGTCTTCAGCCATAAAGAGGAATAAAGGTAGCCGGGCGTGGTAGCACATGCCTGTAGTTCCAGCTACTTGGAAGGCTGAAGCGGAAGGATCACTGGAGCCCAGCAGGTTGAGGCTGCGGTGGCCGGGAGCGGACACTGCACTCCAGTCTGGGCGACAGAGTGAGACTCCAACTCAAAAAAAAAAAAAAAAAGAGGAATAAAGGACGAGGTGTGGTGGCTCACACCTATAATCCCAGCACTTTGGGAAGCCGAAGCAGGAGGATTGCTTGAGCCCAGGAGTTCGAGACCAGCCTGGGCAATATGGCACGACCTCATCTCTACAAACAATCAAAAAATTAGCTGGGTGTGGTGATGCAGATGAGTCCCTGCCACTCTGAAGGCTGAGGCGGAAGGATCGCCTGAGCCCAGGAGGTAGAGGCTGTGGCGAGCCAGGACTGTGCCGTTGCACTCCAGCCTGGGTGACAGAGTGAGACCCCAACTCGGAAAAAAAAAAAGTAGGAGTAGAGTCCTGATCCTTGCTACAACATGGGTGAACTTTGAAAACATGATGCCGGGGTGGGGGAGGGCACAGCTCATCAACACGGGCACCTGCATAATGAACATTTGTATACCTCACCCTGAACACCCCACATATTTAAAACAAAAAGTTAAGGTTGGGCGCAGAGGTTCACGCCTATCATCCCAGCATTTGGGGAGGTTGAGGCGAGAGGATTGCCTGAGCCCGCAAGTTCGAGTTCGGCCCGGGCAACTTGGCGAGACCTCCTCTCTACACTAAATCAAAAATGAAATAAAAAGTTAAAAAAAAAAAGAAAACACGATGCTAAGTTCAAGAAGCAGACATGAAAGGTCACATTGTAAGTTTTCATTGATGTAAAATGTCCAGAACAGGCCGATCCAAACGGCAGGTGATTGATTAGGATTGCAGGGGCCATGGGAAGGGAGATGGAGTGACCGCTAGACAGCATGAAGGTTCTTTCTGGAATAACGGAAATGTTCTACAACTGATGGTGGTGATGGCTGCACAGCTCTGAAAATGCGAAAAACCTCTGAACTGCACCTTCAGGTGGGTGAGCACGTGGTACATGAACTCTACCTCAATAAAGCTGTTCCATACGGGAAACAAGAACCCCCCTCAGCCATAGTGTCCTGGGCTGGTGTCTGGGCACCGTGGCGCTCCAGGCTGGTGTCCAACCCCTGCTGCCCCCTCTGTGGACAGCAGAGAGGACTGCTGACCTTCCAGGAAAGGCCTCCCTGCAGGTGCCCCACCCAGGCCTCTGTTCCTGCCCCACCCAGGCCTCTGCTCCTTTCCCACCCAGGCCTCTGCTCCTTCCCACGCAACAACCGTCACCAGGCCTCTGCCTTTGGAGTTCCTTCAAGGCCTGTGGCCTGGCTGCAGGTGGCCCCTGCTCTGAGTTCCAATGGCTCCTCCTCTCTCTGCCCACGTGGCCAGCGCCGGCTGGCAGGGCTCACCCCTAGTGGGGTCCTGGGGAGCCTTGTGGGAAACACCCCGACCTTGCTGGAATTCGGAAGGAAGCGACGGGCCGGGCACAGGGCAGGCCGGCAGGAGACCCGGCACCGGACACGCCACGGGTGGGCTGGCTTAGGTGCGTGGCACCCATGGGGTGGCGGAGGGGGCCGCAAGCTGGGGCTGGCCCCATCAGCATGGGGGCTGGGCCCGAGCAGGGAAGGAGCAATGTGCAGACTCTGCCATTCCTGGCTGGTCAGGCCCGGGCCCCACAGCCCCGCTTCATTTCCGCTGCTCCCTGGCCCCCATGCCAGGTGCTGCAGCCCCACACCGGCCCTGCTCTCAGCAGAATGGCGAGGACAGGCCCGTCGGGCCCTGTTTGGAGAAAAGTCCCAGAGCTCTGCAGGCCGAGCGCCGCTGACAGGACTTGGGGCTGAGCTCCACGCACACTCACCTCAGCTCCAGTCCCCCTTCCCCTCCTTTTCCTCCTGTCTCCTCTCCCCGCTTCCTGTGCCCTTGCTTTCTGCCACCAACTCCTCTTGGCTAATCGGGAGACCAAGCAGGCGCCTGGCAGGGGCGGTTGGGGTTGGTGACACAGCCTGGGTGTGGCCTGAGGGAGAACAGGCCTCAAACCCGCAGGGAGGCCTTTCCTGGAAGGTCAGCAGCCCTCTCTGCATCCACAGATAACTGCAGGATAAAGATATGAATGAATGAATGGACGGGAGGGTAGGTGGGTAAGCGGATGGGCAGATGGGTGCATGGATGGAAGGATGGGTGGGTGGATGAGTGGGTGGGTGAGTGTAGACAGGAGGGCTGGTGGGTAGACAGGTGGGTAGTGGATGGTGAGAAAGCGTAAGAAGGCCTTTCCTACACTGACCTAGGCTCACACTCCTAGAATTAAGGATCATGCCAGCAGGAAGGGACGTTTCCCCCTCTGGTCCTTCCCCCAGCCAGGTGAGCAAACGCAGCCCCCAGGCAGGGGCCTGACACGCCTGGGGCCCAGCATGCCTCCACCTCAGAGCCAGCAGCAGCTGCATCTCACCTCTCCCAGACACTGTGCATCAGGTTGGTGTCCTCGTCAAGCAGCACGGTGTAGCAGTCATTCGCCACAGGCATCAGGCGCCGGCCCCCGTGGCTGGTGCGTGTTTTCGGCCTGCGGCCAAACCGGAGCACGCGGGCGGCCATGGTGGCAGCTGGCTCCCAGGCGGCACCTGCAGTGGGCTTGATGCTGTAGTGCCGGTAGCTGAGGCCCGGGATTGTGGTCAGAATGTGCAGCTCATATGCAGACGGGGTCTGCGTGGAGTTCTGGATCTGCAAGGCCAGCAGGACAGGGCCAAGCTGTGGGCTTCAGGCTGGAAGACCTGCCCGTCTCCTTGGAAGCCCTGGTTTGCACACTTCCTGGGACGGGGTGCTCATTACCTCCCAGGGCAGTAGTGGCTTGCCATCTCTTGGACCGCTATGAGTCTTCTTCCTTGCCTGGGAGTGTCTCCCCAGCTTTGGCTTTGCCCTCTGGGACCCCCATAAAATAGATCCGTCCTGGGAGAAGCCTTCAGCGACCTGAAGATGGCTGCCTCTCGGGGCCCCCAAACTGTCTCTTACACAGGATGGACACCTCCGGCTCCTTCGGTCTCCTCTCATCAGCCAAAAGTGGGGACTCCCAAATCCTCTAACCTCTCTGGAGCCCACGAATACAGTTCCCCGTTAGATGCCTCCACCTGGATGTCCACAGCTGACCTCACCACGACCCCACTCCACCCCCCACCCCAAGCAATCCTCATCCCATGACAACCCTTCAAGTGCGCCCACCCCACACCCTCTGCTTCCTGCCACCTGGATTTCTTCATTCCACGGCCACCCCCACCCCACTCCCAGCCATCCCTGTCCTCACCAAGGCCAGCCCATGGATGGCCTCTGCCAGGACAACTGCCGCGCGTCCTCACTGGTGTGCCCCATCCACTCCTGTCCCCGCCAACCCATCCACCACAGCAGCCAGAGTGAGTTTTTTTTTTTTTTGAGTTGGAGTCTCACTCTGTCACCTGGACTGGAGTGCAGTGGCCGCTCCCGGCCACCACAGCCTCAACCTGCTGGGCTCTGGCAATCCTTCTGCCTCAGCCTTCCAAGTAGCTAGAGTTACAGGCATGTGCTACCACGCCTGGCTGATTTTTTGATTTATTGTAGAGATAAGGTCTCGCTGCCCAGGCGGGTCTCGAACCTGCGGGCTCAGGCAATCCACTCACCTCAGCCTCCCAAAGGCGCGGGATTACAGGCTGAACCAGAGGTCAGCTTTTTTTTTTTTTTTAAGATGGGTTTTCACTCTGTGGCCCAGGCCGGAGTGCAGTGGTGTGATCACAGCTCCCTGCAACCTCAAACTCCCGGACGCAAGCGATCCTCCTGTCTCAGCTTCCCATGGCCAGTTCATTTTTTATTTTTTATAGGGACAGGGTCTCACTATGTTGCTCAGGCTGGTCTCAAACTCCAGCCTCAAATGATCCTCCCACCTAGGTCTCCCCAACTGCTGGGATTGTGAACTGAGCCACTGGGCCTGGCCAGGAGTCCCTTCTTAAATTCATAACAAGCCTCTCTCCAATTCACCTAAATTTCTCCTGTTGAACTGGCTCCTGCTGGGGCCTAGATGACTTCAGGGTGGGGTCAGTCCCCAGAGGAACCAAGCCTGGGATTAGCAGGTTGGGACTTTCAGTCTGTCCCCCAGGCGTCCCTGTGGCTGTTCCTGAGTTGTGTCCTTTATACTAAAACTGTCAGTGACATGCTGAGCTTCCCTGAGGTTTGTGAGTCAGTTTTGTGAGTCGTTCTAGCGAACTATAAAACTTGAGCTGTGTCATGGAAACCCCAGCATTTGCAGGTAGCTGGACAGAAGTGTGGCAGCCTGGGAACCCCATTTGTGGCTGCTGTCTGCAGTGGGGGGTCTTGTGGGATGAGACCCTAACCTGTGGGGTCTGAGCTCTCTCCAGGTAGTTTGTTCAGAACTGAATTGAGTTTTTGGGCACCTGGTGGGTGTCAGAGAAGTGGAGAATTGGTCAGTGTTGGGGAAAAAAAAGCCCCTCTGCCTCTCTGAGCCTCAGGTTCCTCATCTGTAAAACAAAGTTGATAGGGCTTCCCTTGCAGGGTCGAAAGTGGCAATGTGCAGGAAGTGCCCAGCCCGGAGCAGGTGTCAGCAACAGAAAATGCGCCGCTGGCAGGATGTGTCCATACCTGTGAGGGTACTGGGTGGCCCGACTCGTCTGTGACACTGACGTTGGGGAAGCCCACAGTCAGGGTGACGATGGTGGTGACCGTCCAGGCCAGCGGGTTGTAGACTGAAGCAAAATAGCCTGCAGACACAGAGATCACGATTAACCTGCTGCCCCTTGACTCACTCAACACTCCTGCATGCCCCCAGGTACAAGGGAAACTGAGGCAGGCAAGACCCAGCCCCCCAGAGCACCCAGGGTAGCCAGGAAGGGGAGGCAGACGGGCAGACAGCACAGTCCACGTTCTGCTCGGTCCTCAAGGCAGGAGAGGCAGTAAGGGGACACTCGGTGTCCTGTGGACTGCTGAGGTTTCATTGGCTCCTCATGCGCCTCTGTCAGCCCACTTCACTGATGCGGGAACTGAGGTCTGAAAGGGTTTAGTCTTTTGTCCCCAGCATAGCCATCAGAAAGCAGTCAGACATTCTACTGCAGAACAAGCAGCAGCCTATCCCATCCCATCCCCCCTCTGCAAATCTCCCTGAGATGCAAGACCAGGACAACCCAGCCATTCATGGTTTAGCATAATAGTCTCCAGGAAACTTTTAGGGTCCTTGTCAAGGCTGAAGATCAAAGGTCACCCTTTGGCTGGCAAAAGTCGTAAAAGTAATAATACAACTACCCCACCTTTGGCCAAGGAATTAGGGAGTTGCAAATGTCTGAGTTTGTCATTTTCTTTTTTTTTTTTGAGTTGGAGTCTCACTCTGTCGCCCAGACTGGAGGGCAGTGGCCGCTCCCGGCCCCCGCAGCCTCGACCTGCTGGGCTCTGGCGATCCTTCCGCCTCAGCCTTCCGAGTAGCCGGAATTACAGGCGCGTGCTACCACACCCGGCTGATTTTTTGATTTATTGTAGAGATGAGGTCTCGCTACCCAGGTGGGTCTCGAACCCGCGGGCTCAGGCAACCCACTCACCCCAGTCTCCCAAAGGCGCAGGATGACAGGCTGAGCCCAGCTTGTCTGAGTTTGTGAATTGCAAATGTCTAACAAGTCTCTTGCAGGAATCCTTCCCTGCCCCCAGGGTTAACCTAATCAGCCCTTTGTGACCTGCATGACACAGATCCGCCAACCATGGCAGCAATCATGTGACTAACCCACCCATCTGCCTGCTGTCCATCACCTGCACTTGCCTGCCCCTTTGTGCCCACTGCCCAGCTAGACTCTGGTGTGCCCATGTGCTCTGAGCAATGGCTGTTGCCATGCTTCCTGGCTCTGGCCCTCTCCACCACCTTGGGGAGGTGAATCTTCTCTCTCCAACTTACTTACTTTTTTTTTTGAGTTGGAGTCTCACTCTCTGTCACCCAGACCGGAGTGCAGTGGCCGCTCCCGGCCACCGCAGCCTCGACCTGCTGGGCTCCGGTGATCCTTCCGCCTCAGCCTTCCGAGTAGCTGGAATTACAGGCACTTGCTACCACACCCCGCTGATTTTTGGATTTACTGTAGAGATGAGGTCTCGCCAAGTTGCCCAGGTGGGTCTTGAACCCACAGGCTCAAACAATCCACTCACCTCAGCCTCCGAAAGCATGGAATTACAGGTTGAGCCACCGAGCCTGGCTTCTAATTTACTTTTAAATAAACTTTTCTTTCTTTTTTTAGTTGGAGTCTCACTGTTGCCCAGACTGGAGTGCAGTGGCTGCTCCCGGCCACTGCCACTGCAGCCTCGACCTGCTGGGCTCCGGCGATCCTTCTGCCTCAGCCTTCCAAGTAGCTGGAACTACAGGCACACACTACCACGCCTGGCTAATTTTTCTGATTTATTGTGGCGATGAGGTCTCGCTGGCCCAGGCGGGTCTCGAACCCGCGGGCTCAGGCCATCCACTCACCTCAGCCTCCCAAAGGCGCGGGATTACAGGCTGAGCCACCGAGCCCGGCATAAACTTTTCTTTCTTGACCTTTTTGTGTGTCGCAGTTCTTTGCAACGACTCGGATCTCTGGGATACCGTTGCTGTGCCTCCCCTCGTTCCCTCACCCCTCCAGCACTCCACCCTCACCCTATCTGGACCCTAACAGGGTCCAGAGAAGTCGAGCCACCTGCCCAAGGTGATCCAGCTTCTAAAGTCTGGCTCCAAAGTTTTGAGTGCTGGGTACTGTGAACTACCAGAGAACTCTCTGGAGCCTAGAGGGTCAAGTCCCATTGCCTAGCCTGGCACTTGAGGTGCCTGCAATAGGAAGCCCCTGGCCTCTTTCTCTCCATCCCGACAGCCCATGTGCCGTGAGCTCTGGCCATGACTGATGGCTCCTGGATCCCTGAACACAGCACACGCTTCCAGCCTCCCTGCCTCTCTGGGCTGTTCCCCATGCCTGGGAAGCCTTTCCCGGCCTTCTCTACCCAGTCGCAGCTGGGGAGGCCTCCCCCGGGGGCTCATGGGCATGACCCGAGCGTCTCATCAGAACGACAGCTCAGGAACTGCCCTGCTGGCAGCGAAGTCAGACCCCAGGTGACAACTCTTTCTGCGACTGTCTCCCACCAGACTGGTGTCCCCAAGGGCTGGTCCCCGTGGGCCTTTGGAGGCCTCAGGCCGATGGGATGACACACAGACAGAGATAGGAGGGGAAGGGCAGGCGGGATGCCAGGGCAGGGAGCCGGTGTGGAGGGACATCAAGTGTGAGATGACCGGTGTGCAGGCCGAGGGTGGACCCGGGGGCCAATGTGCAGGAAAGCTGCCTGCGTGCGTAGGGAGACCAGCTCCTCCCTGTTCTTCCCAGATTTCCCGGTTTTGAAACCCCTCAGTACCAGCACGCGGGTATGATGGGTCACTCTACACATGTGAAAGCTCATAGAGAGGCCGGGCAACGGCTGCCCCGCTGACCTACAGGCCGGCGAGCTCGGCAGGGAGCGCCAGTAGCCAGGCCTGAGCTGGCCCTGAGGACACCCACACCCTTGCTGCAAGGCAGGGCTGCGCAGAGTTTGGGGTTCAATCCCTGCTCCTCTCCTTCCTATCCGTGGGAGCCAGGCTAGTACACAGCCTGAGTCCGTTTCCTCAGCTATAAATGAGGACACTCACAGTTCCTCTGTTGAAGGGATCTTGTGAGGCATGAAGTCCGACATGAAGGGTATTCAGAGCTTGGCAAACGCTCAGAACATGTCAGCAGTTACTTCTGGCTCTAACTGTAACATCATCAACCCTCCCTCATTTCGTGATGAGGAAATGGAGACTCCGTGGCCTGAAGACGCTGGCCCAGCTCTCACCGCGGGTCAAGGGGACAAGGGTGTGTACACGCAGTCTGAAGCTCAGGCCTCGTGCTCAGCCCTCCCCCAGCCCTCCCAGGCTTTCTTCTCAGACTCCCGAGGGGGCCTGGCTTACCTGAGCTGGTCCCCGGGGCTGTCTGCCGTGCCCCCGCCCCGGGCCCGGGCCTGCGCCCGTCCAGGATGATGGAGGCCATGAGCTTGCGCACGCCCAGCATCCCCGAGGCCAGGTGCTCCTCGTACATGTCTCGCACCTTGGGGGACTCCGTCCCGGTGATGGCGTCATGGTGCTGGACCTGCGGTTCCCCGGAGTCGAGGAAGAACGGGATCAGGACCTGACTCCGCGAGGCACCGACGTGTGCCTGGCACCTTCGAGGGGCTGGCCCCCGTGCCCCCACTAGGTGCCAGTGGAGAAGGGGGCAGCTCCCCACTTTACAGAAGAGGAAACGGAGGCTAAGAGAGGCTAACGAACTTGCCCTACTTTTCCTGGCCTTGTGGGAAACCCTCGCCCTCGTCCTCCATCTTGGGCAGACAAGAGATTTCCGGAAGGGATCCAGCTTCACCTCTGGGCCCCAACCTTCCCACAGGTGCAGTCAGTACATTCCAGGCACACCCTACAACGTGCCATCGACACTCCTCTGCACCAAGCTCGAGGCAGGACCTTCTCTTCACAGAAGGGGAGACTGAGGCTCCACGGGCCAAGCCGCTTGGCCAGCCCTGCTCTGACGAACTCTGACGTCAACCTGATTCTCCCCCAACACAATGACGAACCCTGCCAGCAATTCCCTTTAGGTCACTGTAAAAAGGTCCCGGCCGGCAGGGTGCTATTTTGGATGGGTGACGGAGGGCAGATTACAGGACTTTTCAGGCCTCAGTTTCCCCCTCGGGGTAATGGGGGATGAGTGGAGACGGAGGCACCATGCCCAGCGGGTTTTGCGTGTCATCACCTTTGAGCCCATTACACAGCCCACCATCCCCCTCCACTGCCTAGGGAGGACATTAGGGCTCAGAGAGACAGCCGAGCTGAGACGTGAACCCAGGCAGGACTGTCGGACACGAGCCCCAGCCCACTCTGTCCTTTATCCCTCTGGGTCAAATCCGCCACACAGCTGAATAAGGCCACCACCTGAACGCTGTCAGGCTGCGGTCTGGCCCTGGCCCCGCTCCGCCACGCACCGGCCTTTTGATCGAAGGGAGCCTCAGTTTCCCCTTCTGCAAAGTGGGGCCTCTAGTACCTCCCAGTGCTGGAGGCTTTGCTAGGACGGGGGAGACAGCACACAGCACAGGGGCGTCCAGTCCCGCTCCTGTACCCAAGAAGGTGACATTACCTCGGAGACCGCCCAGCGGAGCTGCTGGAGCTGCCACAATGCCCAGGTCGGGTCCAGAGACCCGCGTGGGACCGGCCACGTGTAGCGCGTGAACATGGACTCCCCGGCATACAGCAGGGCACTGGCTCGTCGCGCGAGCCCCTTGAGCGCGCTGCGGGATGTGTAGAAGCCCGTCCAGGCCTGGAACGGTTCTGGGAGGTGAGGACAGACAGTAAGCTGGAGACTTCCCGCCCCAGAGGGTCCGCTGAGCCCCAGCCTGGGAAGAGCGAGGGGCTGGGGCCCCAGAGGGGCAGCGCTGGCCTGGGCCACCCGGGGAGGCGGCCTGGTTGGGCAGTGACCTGAGAGGCTGTGGCGCCCAGTGCAGGGTCCCTTCCCCAGCCAGACCAAACACTGCCCAGAAAGCCCTGGACAGCGCCTAGGGCAGGGTGGGCACAGAAGGCCGGGCCGGATGGGCGGGGGTGGGGTCCTGAAGGGCTGAGACGGGAGACAAGCCCAGGGCACCCTGGGAAACCTGGAACAGCCATGCAAGCAGGGGGCGGGGCGCGGGAGACCCCGGAGAGGGAAGAGAGCGAGGGAGCCCAGGGGCGGCCCCAGCTGAGAGGGCCGAGCACGAGCGGCCTCCGTGCGTGACCCTGCGGGCCTGGGGAGGCTGGGGCCAGCCAGGCTTCTCGGCAGGGTCGCTCTGGTGGTGCGGGGGCTGGAGAGGAGGAGGTGGCTGGAGCTGAGGGACCCCGGGCAGCCACTGTGTTGGCCAAGACAAAGAGGGTGGGGATGGGACCAGGGCTCGGCCAGAGCTCCTCTCGGGGCATGGCTGTGTGCCTCAGAAGGCAGCTTCCTCTTGCTTCTGCCTTTCTGCATCTCAGGGGATGGGCTTTGCCTTGATCTCTCGATTCCTGGTTCTTCCCCCATCGGACCTGGCCAAGTCCCAGGGGTGGTCCCACGGCCAGGGGAAAGGCCCCAGACTTGGGGCCCTCTAGGTGGGGTCTGCGGTGGCTCTGTGGCCATGCTGGCGATGGCCAGCGGGGCCCTGGATTCCAAACCAGGCAGAGGGGACTCAAGACCTACACTGTAATCATGCCACACCCACCTGGACAGGCCATGCCCAACCCAATTTGGGGTATCCTCCCATGCCTCCCCAACTAGGTAGAGCCAGGTCTCGCCCACCTCACCGTTTAGCCATGACCACATCGATGCGTCCCCTCCCACCTCCTGTAGCCCCTGGACTTTAAGGAAGATCCCGAGAGCTGTGTAGCCCCACCCAGGCCCCACGGAGACAGAGATCAAAGCCCAGAGGACCAGGACGAACCCGGGACCCTGGTGAATCAGGGCAGCACCCAGGCCAGAATGAGCCCTGCTGCGGGACGGCCGTGGTGTCACTTTGGAAGGGAAGTACTATGGTTCAAACGTCCCCTCCAAAACTCACATTGACATCTAATTGCCACTGTGATAGTATTAAGAGGTGAGAGTGGGTCGGGCTCAGTGGCTCAGCCTATCATCCCAGCACGCTGGGAGGCCGAGGCGAATGGATTGCCTAAGCCTGCGGGTTAGAGACCTGCCTGGGAAACTTGGCGAGACCGCATCTCTACAATAAATAAAAAATTAGCCAGGCATGGCAGTGTGCACCTGTAGTTCTCGCTACTTGTAAGGCTGAGGTGGAAGGATCGCCAGAGCCCAGCAGATTGAGGCTGCGGTGGCCGGGAGTGGCCA